AAGTAATTAATTGCACAATTGCGTCAGTCGTGTTTGATTAATGGCTTTTTTCTTCTTGTATTAATGGATATTTAAATGTGGAATCAACACAAAAGAAGTATATTTAAATACAAATTCTATTGTTTAGCATCTCTCTTTTTTTTTTTTTTTTAAACATGGAGCACTGATTCTCTCCTGTGAGCAATAGATTTCCAATAAAACCTTCAAGGCCCTCAGTCGGCTTGTAAGCCATATTTCTTCTATGCACTAACAGAAATAATAACAAAACCCAGACCTGTATGTTAACGGGAAAGTCGAATTTCAAATCTATCGAGGCTGTTAAAATGAGATTAGAAGGCAATAATTTCTTATATGCCATAATACAACAACAAAAAAATGTGTTCCATGTTCAGGTGCCTGTTGAATTAAAAAAAAAAAAAAAAAGTCCACAATAGTCCATGCAAATATGGAGGAGAAAAACAAAACAACAGGGAAAGATTCTGCTGAGAGTTCAGAATGTTGACCCTTTTTCACTCCATAGAAACAATTCGGCTTAGTCCTCCTTTACTGAGACAGTGTGTGTTTACATCATTAGGGGACAAAGCAGCTCTTCTTTTGCATGATCTTCTTTTGCTTTGAGAAGTAATTCGTAGAAAGACGAATTATGTCTGTGGTAGTTAAATTCAGCCTTTCAATCTGTGCCGGTTACTTTCGTTTTCTCCCAAGATGTCCGACTTTGTAAAGTGAAACCTTCAGCCTAAATCTCCTTCCTCGTCCTCATCCATCTTTAGCCAGGGCGGTTCGGTTTGGCGGCACACACGTCGTCACAGGTCATAGGACAGCCGGCACAGGAAGTAAATAAAACACAGCCAGGTTAATTGCATTAAAAAAATTTTCCGTTAAATAAACATTTTTTTCCGCTGTGTGTGCAGACTTGAGCACGTAATGAACATGTGAGGAAGGAATCATTAACAGCAGTGGACATGTTTGAATTTGAATTCAATAGCACTTATAACTTCTCTCTGATTTTTTTTCCCTCTCTCTCTCTCTCTCTCTCTCTCTCTCTGTGCTGACATTAAAGCCTACAAGAAGTTCAAAGAGAAGTCGTTTTTCCTCTGAAGACGAGGAGCGGTCTCTGAGCTCCAGATCGCCCAGGAGGAGCCAGAGAGTCACCACCGTTCCTCAGGTCAGATCAGATTAGACCGGGCGTTGCGACGACGACCGAGAAATACTTTTCCGGGGAGAAAAAAAAAGGCTAAAATTCTTTCTTTCTTTCTTTCTTTCTTTCTTTCTTTCTTTTCTCTTCATGCAGAAACTTGCAAGTGTCGCAACGCCAGATAAAAAAACCTCACAGAAGATTGGACTGAGATTACGAAATCTGCTCAAGCTACCCAAAGCGCACAAATGGTGCATCTACGAGTGGTTCTATTCAAATATTGACAGGTAAGCACTCGATGTTGTGCTTGTATAGGAAAATAATCAGAGATGGGAGATCGTTATTTTCCTATAGCTGCACGTCCCGGAGTGTTTTATTCCTCTTACGCTACGTTACGATTTTTTATAAATTTTATTAATTTAATGTCCGTGAAACAAGTTCCTGTTAGCGCTTGCATTATAGCAGCTATAAACATTTAAGCATCGTTATCCTCTCAGGGTTTTTTCTCTCTCTCTCTCGCTTGAAGTTATTAAGTCAATACCGTGCATGAGAAGTATGCAAAAAAAAAAATGCAGCTTGTGATATTACCAAGAAACCACGAAACTCCCGTGTTGGAAAACTAAAAGTCACGGCGTTACCTCTGCCTGTTACAAAGCACTGACACTGGAGATTCCTTCCATAAATGTTTAATAGACGTCTCCTTACAACAAACTTCGCCATATCGACGATGTGTGCTGTACAAGTCCCCGTGTGAGCTGTTATTATTAGTAGTAGTAGTGGTATTGTGTTATTTGCATATAATCAACGCCTTCTGACCAATCAGAATTGAGCTGCCGTATAAAATGCACTTGAATGATTTGTATCATGTGCCTTGACCCGTTTCTCCTCTCTTTTCAGACCTTTATTTGAGGGCGATAACGACTTCTGTTTGTGCCTGAAGGAGTCTTTCCCTAATCTAAAAACCAGGAAGTTGACCAGAGTGGAATGGGCAACCATCAGACGACTAATGGGCAAACCCAGGAGGTGCGCTGATGCATCACAAACCTAATGTAGTTTCTTTAACGGGGTTCATTAACGTATAAGACACAGCGTGTGGGTGTTGTAACGACCTGTATATATAGAGACGGAGAGAGCGCACTGTACTGAAGACGAGTGTTTCGGCAGGTGCTCGTCTGCGTTTTTTGCTGAGGAGCGAACGGCGCTGAAGCAGAAGAGACAGAAGATGCGTCTGTTGCAGCAGAGAAAAATCACAGACATATCACTTTGCAAAGATCTGCCAGAGGAAATCCCTTTGCCGTTAGTCATCGGCACTAAAGTCACCGGTGAGTGAGAATTAACAATATAACAAGCGGCAAGAATCAGGGTTGTTCAGCTGTACTTGTACCTCAGTTACCCTTTAATACCTAGTACTCAATTCTGATTGGTTGGAAAGCTCAGACAGTAGTGCATGTGCAAAAAAATAAAACAAATAACTCACAGGTTTATATTCATACGCTTTTTCGAAGATCTTCTCGTTACTATGGTAACGGCTTGCACGGGGAACGCGTCGGTTTAACGTTTACAGAATGACTTTTCAATGTTGAGTTGATGTTTTCCACCATGGCACAAGTCAAGCTGCGTTTTTATTTTGCCCGACTAGCTTTGAGAATTTTGAGATACGACATCGTGATATCAGGAGCTTGTATTGTGAATGTTCCACAACTATAAACATATATATATATATATATATATATATATATAGTATGACTTGTAAATGAAAACTTTTTACAATTTCCTGTGGTATAATAGGAATAAAACACTCCAGGACGTGCTGTTATTAGGAACAGTGTCGGTAACAGTAACTGCGTTAATTATTAGTGCTAAATATTAACTTGTGGTACATTGTAACCGTCATATATTAGTAGACGTTATTAAAATTGTCACGTCTGTTTCTCATAGCTCGACTGAGGGGCGTACAGGATGGCCTGTTCACCGGACAGATCGACGCAGTGGACACGAGTGCAGCGACGTATCGCGTCACCTTTGACAGAAGTGGGCTTGGTACACACACGGTTCCAGACTATGAAGTGCTTGTAAGTGTTCGGTTTCTGTGCTCATTCGTTACATTACTATTGGATACTCAACACACACATTACCAGTACTGACTATAAGGGTTGAAATCAACACGGTTAAAACATAAGCATAATTCTACAAATTCATTCTGTTTCAAAAGCCACAGCTGATTGACAGACTTTTTTCAGAGTAGTTTTCATTAGAGGCCGAGCGATGGTGGATTTTACCGATAACTCATCGCTCGGTACCTGCCGATAACCGATCAATCAACCGAGTAGTTTTCAAACTTGATGCTGAATAATATTCAAAGTAAAATATTGCTGAACTTTATTACAAAAATAAACAGTACTGTTTATACCATGAAATTGTACTGTACTTTTATTTTTACATGAAATAATATTAATATATTAACTAGAAATAAATATTACAGTAAATAAAGGATATACATCCAAACGGAACCAGAAAGTAACACTTCAAATAACAAATGCATATGGGGACATCCATGAATTTAAAAAACACTTCAAATAACATGACAAAATTGGTCAGTGATAGTTTATATTGCACCTCTAGAGGCCGCTCTCGTACTGTATAATGACAGCGGACCCTTCTCAATCACTCCGTCAACCGGGAAACACTATCATTGTGGATTTTTGCAGATAACCGATAGTTCCAGTTATTGGTGCCGATTAATCCACAAAACCGATTGATCAGTCGGGTTTGCGCCTCTGATTCTCACCAACAATGCCTGTTTTTCTGTTTATTAAACTAGAAGTACTCTACCAGTCAAAAGTTTTGACACTCTCATCCTTTATCTTTATTTTCCTCATTTTAGAAGAATAATAAAGTCTTCAAAACTCTGGAGTAACACAAATGGAACTATGGGAATTATGTTGTGATAAAAAATCCAAAATAAATCTTAATAATTTAATATTTTATCATCTTCAAAGTCGACACCCTTTTCACCAATTTCCAGAAGTGTATTCTTGGCGTTTTCTCGAGCGATTTCTTGAGGAATTTCCCCGAGATGATTTTTAAACAGTATTAAAGGAGTTCACACCGACACCGGACTCTTATCTCCTGATTTTCAGAATATTTATCTCAGAGTCGTCTGATTAAATAAAGAATTATTTAATAAATAAAATGCTCATTTTCTAATGAATAAAAAAATGGATACGTCGACACGATATACATTTCAGTCGAGCGTCTCCAAACTTTTGACTCCTTCGGTCCTAAACATAGATACTTGTCTTACTATCCTTGTGAGGACCTGCACGAGGATAATTATTAATGTTGTGCGCACACCTAAATCAAATCCTAACCTTAACATCACTAACCAAAAGATATATTTTTTTAAAGCAGTTTTCCTTGTGGGGACCAGCCGAATATCCCCACGTAGTCAAAACTGTCCGATATATCTATTCTTGTGGGGACCAAGATAGTAGTTATACATTTATTTGGTCTTGATGTTGAGACGTTATTTGGTACTGCACCCTTTTGTTTATTTATTTATTTATTTTTTAACAGGTTGTACATTTTAACGAAATACGTCAGAAACAGAGAAAAACCACGATCGTTGTTCTCCAATCGCTGTTTTTAAACTTTCTGCAGAGTAACGAGCCTCCGGAGACGATGCCCATATCTGCTTTCGCTCAGAAACAGCGTCCGTCACGCTTCCCGAACTTCATGACTCCACCACGGGGACCCTATCCTGGTTCAACCCAACCCATCTTAATGGTAATGAGCAGAGATGATCTCTTTAGGAAGACTTTAAAGCCTGATTAATCATGCGAATGAGCATAACGGCAGAATGTGGGCGGCTGTGGATCAGTTGGTAGAGCGGGTCGTCCACTAATCGTAGGGTCGGCGGTTCGATTCCCGTCACACGTGACTCCACATGCCGAAGTGTCCTTGGGCAAGACACAGAACCCCAAGTTGCTCACGATGTCAAGTTAGCGCCTTGCATGGCAGCTCTGCTACCATGTGTGTGTGTGAATGGGTGAATGAGACACGGTGTTAAGTGCACTATATAAGTGCAGACTATTTACCATAACGGTGAAATAAACACGGATTCTCTCGCTGTGTGCCTGCAGGACAGCGATCCTCTCTTTAGTCAGTCGCCCTGGAAGAATAAACTGACTGGAAGTGACGGAGAGACACTCGGAGGATTCCCTGTCAAATTTCTCATACAAGTCGTGAGTATGACGAGGCAAATAAACCTGATTTATACGCATTTTTATTTTGTCTTTGTCTTCGATTCAACGACACTTTCTTGTTCCTTTCAGACACGATTGTCCAAAATACTCATGATTAAAAAGGAACACATAAAAAACTTAAAGGAGATGAACACCGAAGCTGAAAAACTGGTATGTATGTGTGTGTGTGTATGTATGTGTGTATATATATATATATGTATATGTATATATATATATATATATATGTGTATATATATATATATATATATATATATATATATATATATATATATATATATATAATATATAATGTTCCTTAAATATTCATATCCTGTTTGCATAGAAAGAGGTTTTGAATTCATTTAGTTAATTGATCTTCCCTGATCCATGTCCTTTGTATCACATGATCCAGTATCATACCAAGACAACTTGCATGCCAGATAATTCATTGTAGAAATGTTAATTAAAGTCACCTTTAACTTTCAGTTATAAAGCATTTTTTAAGCTTAAATGCAGCGTGCACAAGATTTTGCTCGAGTGTGTTTGTGTGAACACTGAAAATATTCATTTGGAAAGCGGTTTTAGCGTTGAATACACGATGGCGTGTGTTATTGCATGACAGTGATGCAAATACAGTCATTTATAATTTGCATATTAAACAAAAAAAGCAGGATTTCTTGATTTGTATTACTCATGTAAAACACGTTAGCACTGTTTAATAATTTGTAGGTGATTTTTAGGAAATGTGGAAATCCTAAATAAGACTTGGACAACATTATTACCACAGCATTATATCCAAAGACTTGAATTCTCGACTCTGATTGGCCAGAAAGTGTCGATTGATCTGTCCCTCCGGGATTCTGCAATCGCAGAAGTGGCCGCAAAATCAAGCGAACGCCGCGATATTCGGAGGATCTCGCACATTTTTCAAAATTACCGCCGGTTTTGCCCGAGTCGCATCGTGTGACAACAATTTCGCCAAACTCGAGTAGTTGCATTTGCATTGCAAATTTTTACGCAATCCTGTACTGGACTTATTGATTAGTCTTCTATAACAGTAGCGCAGTTACAAATCACAGGTTTATATTTACACGCTCGTTCTGATACGTTATCGTTTCCATAGTAACAGCTCGTTCACAGGGACTTGTATGGTGGACACTACACAGGAACAGATTTTTTTTTTTTTAGGAAAACGTGTGTACCTGTACATACGCGAGGAGACATTATTTAACATTTATGGAATCCGAGGTAGAGCTGTATCTTTTGTCTGGCATCATCGGGACAGAAATGTATGCTTTTGTGCGGGATTTTCATGTTAAATGATCGAGAGAGGGAGTGGGAGGCTGGTGAGGGGACGGTTGTTTTATAGATGCGACACAGGATCTAACTTGTTTCGTGGATGATCCACAGCATTATATGTAACGTGTTGTAAGAGGAATAAAACATTTTGGGACAGGACGTCATTGGGAAAGTATTCAATGTTTGTTTAAAATCCTCATTTCTGTCCGTGTGCAGAAGTCCTACTCCATGCCTATCGGATTGGACTTCCAGAGGAGGTACGCTACCAAAGTACTGGATCTGGAGCAGCTTAATAAAGACCTGAACAAAGTTCTGCATGAGGTCCAGCAGTTCTGTTATGATGTGAGTGAGAAACGTGGCTCCATTGGAAACGCTAATCTGGTGTAAATTCTGTCCGTGCTCGTTCCGACGGTGAACGCTAGTATTTGATTGAGCTGAAACTATCTACACAGACTATCTTCATGTAAGTCTCTCGCTTGTACAGCTGGCCCCGGATCAAGGCATGCAGCCTGCGGATCAGCCCAGTGAGCTTCGGAGACGCTGCGAGGAGGAAGCCCAGGACATGATGAGGCTGTCCAACGCTCTGCCTGACGGAGAACAGCGCGTCCAGAACCCTGGACTCACGCAGATCATTTCCCGTCTCACTGCTCTCCTGCTGCAGATCAGGGTGAGACACTGAAACCCTTCTTTCTCACATCTGTACCCACGCGGTTGCTGAATTCGTTAGCGCTGATTCTTTGGCTTTGGGGTTTTGTTTTCCGCTGCAGTGCTTGGCAGAAGGTGGTGACCTGAATTCATTTGAATTCAAATCATTAACCGACTCCCTGAACGACATTAAGAACTCAATAGACAACTCCAACCTCAGGTAAGACACAGCATATTTATTCTGCTGAGGTTCCGCAGAACAATTACACCAATTCCTTTGTGTGCACTAACTGGAGCGACATTGTTCACATACTCGCTCGCCTGAGTACTTCATGTACGTCTAGAGAACGAAAAGCGACGTCTAGTCCGAATCGTAGCATCCCTGTCCGCTTGGATTCCAAGTTCAAGTGTAAAAATGTTTAACGGTTTCATGCACAGCGATGTTATACACTACGGGTCAAAAGTTTTGGGACACCCGACCGAAATGTTTCTCATGATGTTAAAAACCTTTCGATCTGAAGGTGTGTGATTAAGTGTTTGAAATCGGTGTCATAGACAAAAAATATATTCATTTCTTTCATTAGAAAACTAAAATTTTATTCACAAAATAAATCTTTATTTAAACGGACGACTCGGAGCGAAATATTTTCCGAAAATCAGGAGATAAGAGTCCGGCGTCGGTGTGAACTCCTTTAATACTGTTTAAAAATCATCTCGGGGAAATTCCTCAAGAAATCGCCAAGAATACATTTCTGGAACATTCTAGACAAAAAGGGCGTCTACTTTGAATTTTTTTTTTTTTAGCACAACATAATTCCCAATAGTTCCATTTGTGTTACTGCAGAGTTTTGATGACTTGATGAGTGTCTAAACCTTTGGCCGGTAGTGTACACGCTGATGAGAGGTCTGATTCACCTTTCCTTCTGCCGTCATCGTGATTGTCGTCATGATCTACTCTGACTATATGTTCGAAAGTATTTACACATCTAGAAAGAAAAAAATAGACCACACCAGAGGTGTTTAAATAAAAACACTAACTGTAACGGGTAAGACGGTTAATGTTAGTACTTAAAAACTATTTAGCCTTGTGTATATAAATATGCGTTTTGAGACACAACACTAGTTTGTTTAGATGCTATACCGCCCGCGCTGTTTATGTTGGTATTATACAGCGTGGATGCGCAGGGTTCATGTCTGTGGACATCCACAGGCAATGCTCCAAAACGACCGCAGCCAGCCATTTTGCCTGCATGTAGATGCAGTTAAACGCTAATAATAATAATAATAATAATAATAATAATAATAATCCAGTTTGTAAATCACACAGACGGGACAAATATCCATCTCAACGGGCCATTCGGGTCTTTTTTTACATTATTTTTATTTTGCGTTTAGAGTTACACATTTAAAACTGTAGTCATGTAGCCCTGACACCACGCCCATTTTTATGAGGATATTTTTATGAAGCTAGATACCAAAAAGAGGCTTTTTATAACTTTTCATTAGTAAATAACTTTCATAGTAATACCAGTTCTCAGATTTTGTTTTGTGATCTTTCTCTCTCTCTCAGCTGTTTCCAAGACAACGTAGAGATCCACGTAGCGCACATCCAGAGCGGCCTGAGTCAGCTGGGGAACCTGCACGCTTTCTCCGCCAACAACACCAACAGAACGTGACCGACACAGAACCCACCCCGTCTTAAACACGGACCGAAAAGAAAACCCGAAGCAGAACGAGCTTCGACCAAGGAGCCATTTTGAATCCCACAAATGTCTTAAACAAGCGCGACAAGCACGCGGAGCACTAGAGCAGCACACAGGAGAGCCGTTAGTAGCGCGTTATTTCTTCTGTGCGTCGGTATGTTTATAACGGACGAACACAGGGTAACCTTGATCACATTCACCCTGTCTTAATCATACTCCTTAAGTTCCCTTCACGTTTATGACTGTTTCCTCTAGAGTCTTGCTCAGTTTCGGTTCTTATTTATTTTTTTCCCCCAGCTTTTTATTTTATGCTTCCTTCAAAAACACACACACACACAAACCCTCCATAGTTTCAGGTGTCTCAGACAGAAGAGTTTTTTGAATGTGTATATTGTAGATAACTGTACAGTTTATTGAGGAATCGGACATGTATGTACGGACATTTTGTAAGTAATTTTAAGTATTTTTGTAAAGAGACGAATTCGATGGCGGTGTAGACGTAAACGGTGTAAAACGGTAACGATCAGATTGTTCTCTTCCTCCGTGTTTAAACTTCGCCAATACCTTTGCGTATCTTACATTATTTCGGGTTCGGGAATTTCACTTTTCAATGATTTCCACCATTTGTTTTTTATTTTTTATTTTATTTAACTGGTATGTGTAAATGTATATACGTTTTATTCATTTCTAATTAAACATTAAACACAGAAGAGGATTTTCCTGGATTTTGTAGAAAGTCAGTCACGTTTCATGTACACTGTGGTGTTTTATTTTTTCATTTTTTTTTCAACAGTAACATAGTGCAACTATTTATAAAATAAATAATTGATTGGAAATCTTTTTTTTTTTTTTTATACACATTCGCTGAAAAGAGAATAAAACAAATTATATGAAAGCGTTAAACCCAGCCAGGGCTTCTTTCTCCCAGTCGGAATCAGAATCGGAAAAATCTCCCGTGTCGCTGCTGCCGATCGGTGAAAAATGACCCCGGCTGTCGTGTGGCACTCGGACTTGCGTGTGCTGCAGAGGACAGGTGATCTGCGTCAGT